GTGGTTGATTACTTACCTGTATGGGATGGTGGGGGATGGACGTGGGGGTTCAGCCCGATAGCTAGTACTGTGCTGTACTTGTACAGGTACGATACTGGCATCGCGATTGATAAAGAGACAAGAGGGAAATGGTAAAAGTACCGTACGGTAACAGTAACAAGGTACCGGTGTCCGAGCACGTACCACTACTCTACTCTACTCTACACTGCCGGCGCTCGTGCACGCCAAATCGTCCTCCCAGGGAGAAACGTGGAGCGTGTACCTGCCTTCACTCGCTCACTTTACTCCCTCAAGCATTCATGCATACGGTACTCGTACTAGTACAGCCGATCGCCCATGAGAACACCGGTACTTTTATTTTTATTTTTCCCAACAAACTAAAACCCAAACCAAAAGCCGAAACAATCATCACCCAACTTAAAACGCTTACTGTAGCCAGAAAGGGAAATAATGTACTGTGCTCGTACCAACAGGTACTCGAGTACAGTACGGTAGGCAAAAGAAGCCAAATCCAACAGGGTTCTAAATTTAAGCACACCTCCTCCTGCTCGCGACGGGTACTCGAATTTCTGTATCGTACAGTGCTCGTACTGGTACTAGTGCAGTACAATACGGCAAGTTACTGTAGAGTACTCTGCAATATCATATCATACCTCTGTACTCTACAGTAGACTACCTCGGCCCAATCCCAGCCCATTACCGGTATCCAAAGCTTGGCAACCTTCAAATCGCACCGCTTACCGGTAATTAAATTTACCGTGCTCCAAGTTATCTCATGAACACCCTTTATCTGTCTTATCTTATCGAACCCGTCTTATGATTACCTCCCTGACCTCGCTCTGCCATTTGCTTTCCCCCCCCCCATCCCGGCTGTACTCGTACAGTACTGCACTCGCACAAGTATGATACAGGAAACTTGAACAAGGCAACAGTACCATAACCACAGCCTACCCCATACCGGTACAAAGATCCCAGTTCAGGATCGGAGGGGAAATGCCCTCAATCGAGGAAAAGGCATGGCATCTACAATATCGGCCATGTATGCCCTACCGTGTACCCTACTCAGCCGCCGCCGCGTGCAAAAGTAGGTGTTTCAATTTTGCAAAAGATCAAAAATAAAGCAAGATTGATTAAGGGAAAAAAAATAAAAATAAAAAAAAAGTGTGTGTGTCTGTCTCGCTATCTATGATATCCATCTGGCTTCCCCATAAATCTGCAACGGAGGCCCGAATCTTGAAAAAGTGTAGAGAATCGGAATGACTGAAGGGATACGGTAGTGGATGGTGGATTTTGCAACTCCTCATGCCTTTTGTTATTTCTTTCTTGCGCCCCCCCCCCCTCCTCCTCCTCACCCGACACACTTTTTTTCTTTTTTCTTTTCGCGATTAAGCTACCGTACGGTACGAGTATGATAGGTTGAAAGGTAAATATGTCTGACTTTTGCGATTAAGGGAAGGAGGATACGGTGGTTGCTCGAGTTGACAATTTGGTGGATGGATAACATAGTTGCCACGGTGGTGTATGGTACGCTCTGCATCCCACGGAGAAGGGGGGAAGGAAAAAATAGGCAAACCGGGAGGAACCCCAAGTTCGACCTTCCTTTCCCCATCACCATAGCTCGTCTCGTACTTTCCGGATTCCAGGCGGTTAGGCTCTACCTTCCGTAAACAGTTAACGCTCCTTGGGAACAAGAACTTTGCAGCGGCAGCAAGTTGTCCTGTAAACTTGAACCTGTTACTGTGCTCGAGTACCGTACCGGTAGCTCGTGAACAATGCATCGACCCTTCGTGGGCCAAACCGGAAACAGAAACTCTAGCAAAGGGGGACGGGAGAAATAATAATAGTCTAATCTCACCGGCACAACACCACTTTGTTTGTTTGTTGATTGTGGCCCGAAGCTACAATAACTTACCTCGTTTTACCACTCCTCGTTTCGCCCCCCCCCGGCGGAACCAGCGTGTGCACCGCGGAAATGCGATACAGTAATCGGCTTTGCCAATCAGAATACAACCACACCACAAGGCTAAGCTACGGGACCTTCCTACCTCACCGCCAGGGCGGAAAGCTCCCCCCCGGAAGATTTCGGTGCGAGGACGGGACTTTTGGGCGAACTAGCTATTGTGAATCCCAGAGCTAAGCCCTGTAAGCTACTTGCACATTACCAGTATCATACCATTAGCACATTTTCCGGGGGGCCTGCTCTCGAGTTTGTCATGTAAAGTGGTCCAGAGTACGGTACCAGTATGAGGGAAACAAATGCTATAGCCGAAGGGAGGCTAGTTCTAGAATCAGCAGCACCAAAGCTCGCTTCAAACACACCGAGGCATTTTTAGTCTTGCTCTTATTCTGGAAGCTCATTGTCACACAATCTCACTCGTGGTCAAGGGCCCGACGTATCCTGGATGATCCGCATACCCGGCTATTGCCCCTCCAACAACCCTTCTAGAAGGAAGGAGGGAACCAAGGGGAGCCTAAACGGGAACCTGGGGGCCGGCTACAAGAAATGCGGAGGATTTTCAGTGGCGGTCGATGGAAAAGGTATCTGATGTGGCCATCAAAAGATCTACAGCGAATGTCTGCGCCCCGGCGCATGTCTTTGATCGGACATTGCAATAGATATATGCCTCTTATCGAAGAGATGAAAAACTAGTTTGACCTCCGGTCTGCCCATCCGTTTTTGTGACAACGAGAAGGTTTTTCGTCAGGGCATTGCATGCCTTGATGTTAGACTCTCCGTGGCGCACCGGAAGTTGGGTATGGCAATAAACAAGCCGAGTTCAGCAGTAGCACAAAGCCAGAGTATGTGTACCGGGAGGCCTAGCCATAGGTGCATTATCTTTGGGGTAAAGTCAGATCATGTCCCAGCACTCTTGCGAGAATTTGTGCTCCCCACCGTCTTATTGCTTGCTGAGGAGCCGCGGGTAGAGAATTATGGTGGTGCTATTTTTGATCTAAGCCTATTCGTTCATTTTGGGCCCAGAGGGTCTATAGGGGCTAGTTATGTTTTTAGCACAGCGTCGGAGGAAGTGCTCTAGCAAATCATGAAGTATCACCCGTGAGCGTTGCTGGGGCTGGGTGGCACGCAGATCCCGTAATGATGGAAACGCCACACAAATTATTGGTTAACACTTGTGGAGGTCCTCGGCCCTATATTAGCAAACTCCCTCGCATGCTATCTGTAGATATCTGACTTCGATGGCTCGTGGGAGCCTGAAGTAACTGGAGGGTTAGGGTTAACACAGTGATCCTGTTGACTATCATCTCTGGAAGGATGCACTGTAAGGCAGCCTCTTTGAGCCTTGAATGGCCCGATGGACGCGTCACGTATCCGAGGATAGTTCGGTTGCTCGGTCTAAGGTTCATCATTATCTCCCCCTCTCTTAGTTGATTGGAGGGAGGGCGGACGGGGGCATACCAGATTCGGCCCTGAGCTCTGACATGAGTCACTCCGCTGCCGGGCTTACATATTAGTTAGTAGATATCTATTATCCAGCATCTGAGATACGGTAATGGTTCAAAAGCTTGTGCTCACATGCCTATCTCAGAACCTCTGATGTTCGATCATTACATTAGCAAGCATTCTCGGAACGTAATGGGGGAGGCGGTGAAATTAAGGCTCCCCTACTTAGCCTAGTGCACGACCCCGAATGAGTGAGAAGGGCCTGGGGTGAACCTGTGCCTCCGCCGCCATAACTGAAGCCAGACCAGTCCCCCTAACCTCGTCCGGTTAATGAACGGGGGCCTCCAGCCTTCATGTGACTACCGCTCGACCGCGACCGGACGAGAATGGGATGGAAACTCTGAAGAAATTTCGACTCGAACAAGGAGAAGACATGATCCAAATCCTGGTGGATTGAAATATTTGACCATTGTAGTCTTAGGAAGTTATGTGCCCCGTGGTTGGTGTCGTTCAGGAGCGGGACGAAAGGTGAGCAAACAGAGTGAATAATTATGAATCTGTTGAACACTTAGACTATCATACGTCATCTCCTCAGTGGAACCATACCGCTAGTCCTTATCACTAAGATCTAATCTGAAAGATATCCTCGTTGCGGCTATGACGGGTAATTACGATCCAATTGGGCCTATCATACTCATTTACCAGTGCGAGTACCCAAATCGCAGGATGGGTGTTGAGTCTCTCTCGGTGTGTTCGTTACCCCGGTGGCTTGCGAACAGGACCGTATTCGCTGCTTTGTAAATACCGACGCCGGTGTGAGAGGAATCACAGCTGTGGTAAAACATCACGCTACAAGAATGTATGGTGCTAGTTATCATATAGCTTATTGTGTGCCGTTCCATGGTATGCTATCTGGACCATCTTATATGTCTGCTACCCTTGGAAATAAGACAGTATTATACTCGTATGAGTACCTTTATTCTTGCTTGCTTGCTAGAAGTGGATCCTCATACATTTGCATACCTTTTCTTAGCAGGTATGATATAATACACCCCAAGCAATTTTGCTAGTATATCAGGAATAACAGTATCAGAATGATATTTATCCAAGTCTCAAATTCCCCAACAGTACTTGAGTCCAATTACCTGTTCCAACTACCTTCTTCGTGACCAAATTTTCTGGGAAAGAAGGAAATTTGACAAAGGGTCATAGGACATTATCACTCCCTCAATTCGTCTGTAGAATTAAAGTTATTATTTAATCTTAAAAGGTGTTTTTCTCTGAAACTATGCTTTGAAAAAAAATAGCCCCAAGTCTTTCTATGATATGATACAAATCTTGAGCAGCGCCATACAAGGATGATATCGTGATGATATTATATTATTCCTATAAATATCCGTCCAAGCCAAAAATGGACGAGTCATAGTCCATGACTCTGGATAAGCCCCCATTTCCCTCCCACAAGATGTCAATAAATCTAAACGAATCAAGAAAAGGAAAATATAATAACAGGATAATGTTACAATATAGTGAAAACAGCCCACTGAAACCCTGCAGATTCATAAGGCAATGAACCCCCCCCTACTAGTACACGCACGCCACACACATCAAGCCTGAAACTTGAAGCCTCAAGCCTCGAACCCACCCGTCGGTCAACGCGTTGTCACGTCACCACCAACCACCAACCAAAAGGCTTGCTACTGTATCAAAGCTGACTATGATTGGTGGCTGACCACATGCAAGCCCTGGCGTCGCAAACCTTCCGGCGAAACTCTATCCCAACAGCACCTCTCCCATAGAGAAAGAAGAGAGAAAGAAATTAATTTTTTTCTTTTTCACTATCATCATATCACGACCTTTTACGGAAAACTTAACTACAAAAATGGCGGTTCTGGAAATCTCCCAAAGACTGGCTTCCCTTACTGACACTCATAAAGAAGTACTTTACCCACCTTCTCATAATCCTTGCAACGTGGCAACTTCAACTATCTAACAATGAGCTAAAAAAAAAAATCCGAAAAAACAGTGCATGAGCTTAATATCTCGCCTCTCAAAGCTCGACACGCCCGGTAACGATAGCACGAGAACCGAGCTCGCGAACGTGATACACCAGAGCTTGCGCGACGCCGAGTCCGAGCTTGAGTTGCTGAGCGCACAGGTCGAGGATGAAGTTGGTGATGGGGCGCAGGTGGCATTGAAGAGTAAGGTCGCGAAGATGGGGGAGGATCTGAAGATGTTTGCTTCCCCCCCCCTCTCCGATAGGATTATGGAAGTGGTGGTGGGGAGGCTAATGCGTGGGGAGGGTTAGTGCGCGATTGCAATACCGCAAAGCCCAACTCTTCGCGAAGCGTAATGCGCTTGCCGCTGAGAAACGGGAACGGGAAGCTTTGCTGGGCGGGTCGGGGAAGAGCACACCGGATAGTATCACCGGGAAGCGGAAGGGAAATCAGAAGTTATCGTATGTCACTCCCCCTTTATCTTTCCTAAAAACGGGGCTGAATGGTTGAACACAGCCAAAACGACCTCATCCTCCACGCCTCAACCGACATCACGACTGCTCTCCGCCGCACGCATACCCTCCTACAGTCCGAGCTCTCCCGCTCGCAATTCGCCACGGAGACGCTCAACACTTCCACCGCTGCGCTGCAGGACCTCACCCACCGCTACTCCGCATTCGACGACATAATCTCCTCCTCGCGCGCGCTCATTTCTGACCTCGTGCGCAAGAACAAGAGCGATAGGTGGTATTACGAGAAGGCGATACAGATACTCCTTATATTGCTGATCTGGTTGGTTATTAGGCGGCTCCTGTGGGGCCCTATTTACCTGGTCCTTGGGGTGCCGTTTCGGATGACGTGGTGGGGACTCTCCCTTGCTGCTGGGGGATTGGGTGTTGGCGGGAGGGGGGAGATTTCTCAGGGCGCGGGAATGGGCATGGGTGTGGTTACGACAGTGCAGGTCGCAGGGATTCCGGAGAGTATGTTGGAAACGGAGCCTCCTGGAGGGCGCGCTACGCCTGTGCTTGGGGAGGGGGAGAAGTCGATGAAGGAACAAGTGGAGGGCGTCATCTATGGAGAACCAGGGCTCGAAGTGGAAAAAGTGGAAATGGAAAAAGCTAAGCCGGCAGACAGGAGCCCAAAGCACAGAAGCATGGAATATAATCCGGAAGAGGAGAGACAAGCCCGGGAAAAAGGCCACCCGGAGACGCATGACGAGCTCTAACCCTCGGAATTGCCCACTTTGTTTCATAGCGCTTTCATTAGCAGACCATTTTTCCCTAATTTGCTATTCTGCTGTATTATAACCTTGCCTCGCCAAGAACTCTTTATCTACCGTGGACAGATGAACAGATGGGCATAGCGAGCTTTCGCTGAGGGTCCAATTTGCTAGACCAAACCGGACCGGACCGGACCGTCCTAGCAAGGCCCTGAAAGGAATTTTCAGCAGCGATATATTCCCACGACTTACAATGAACGACCTTATATTTACTAGTACAAGCAAATGGGAATGGTGCATTTTTTTTCGCAATAGCCAGGGAATCATGCCCTTGATATCTCATAGGGGTCCCCTTCTTTCTCTCTTTCTCCTTCCCACCCTTAATCCTCACCGCCTTCCACAACCAACCGATCCAGGATAATTATGCAGATGTGGGAGTTTCCGCAGGTCTGTATCCTGACTCTTCTTGCTCCTCACGGTCCAATTGCATTAGGTAGGTTTCCCACAATTCGATGAGCTATATCACACCCGCCAGTTAAGTTACTGGAAATGAGAGGGCGGAAGGGCGGGGGTAAATACCTCCTTCTGGGCCTCCACAGAGCTCTCCAAGAACGTCTCAACAGCACTCTTGAAATCCTCCACCTTCTCCCTCTCGAACCTATCCAATTCCATCCTCAGGGTTCTCCCCATATTGTCGAACGCAACCCTAGCAGCGTGTAATTTCCTCTCGCTATCGCTGACCTCTGCGCTCGTCTGGTTCAGCCTATCCTGCTGCGACTTGCCTTGCCTCTGCAGCTTCTCAAGTGCTGCTCTTCGCTTGACTAGTTCCCCATCTGCGGCGTGGTAAGTATGGAACGCCTTCTGCCGCTGGTTGAAGGCGAGCTTGATAGAGCCTATGATCCGGATGTATTCTTCCACGGTTATGCCTAGGGTTAGAACGTCTTGCTGTGCTTGACGTTCGTGAAGCTCTTTGATGCGGATTTGTAGGTACGAGAGGGATTCGAGGGGGTTGGAGAGGGATTTGCTTAGCTCTACTGTCGAGAGAGCTTGTAGGGAGGAGCTGAAGTCGTTCGCGGCATCGGCTAAGTCTTTGCGTTGTTTGATTACCGTGTCCACAGATTTGAGCAGGGCTTTGAGTTGGCTTTCCAAAGCGTCCAGGTAGTGTTTGCGGTCGAGGAACCACTAGACCACTAGTCAGAGAGTTCTTTGCAGAGGAAAAGAATGGTCATAACAAACTTCATCATTTTCAATGAATTTTCCACCTCCGCCAAATGCACCACCGAGAGAACCAAACATTCCCTTGTTCTCCCCCACGGGCTGTACCTGCTTTTCTTTATGCTTGATATCGCCTGACAATGCTTCTGATTCCAAGAACAGCTTGAGATCTGCATCGTGCTGCAGCATTGGATGAGCTGCGGTTTTATTCAACATCCGTTCCAATGCAGCTCTTCTCGATTCGACAAAGTTATCATCAAATCGGCCAACCGCCTGCTTTTCCGGAGGCGGTGGGACAACCGCCCCCGGGTTGTTATTGATCAGCGCCTGGTAGAGCCATAAAAAATCGCGGTATCTACGGCTAACCGTAAATTCGCTATTTCTATAAACCTTGGATGTAGTCTGCAAATCCTATGGTATCAGCTATCGGGGCTTGCGCAGCGGGAAGAAATCATCCGACAAACCTTTGTCCGAACTTGATAAACAGTGTGAGCACTAGTCAAATCCCCGACTTTATGCGGGTCGCCAACATGTATTTCGAAGGATGGGCCCGCCGGCTGATCACTAGCTGGCTTAGGAGGAGGGAGAGATTCCCCGAGAGCTTCTCTCCCTACAATCTGAGCGAAGTCTGTAGCTGGTGGTCTCCTATATCCACCTTCATGCACCTCCGCTCCAGAATCATCCAAAGGAACGGTATCCATTGAATCTCCGCTTAGGGACATCCGGCTTGGAGCCCCGGGCATGGCTCTAGCCATACGGGGAGAGCCTTCCTTCTGCGGAGGCTCGGGCGGAGAATCATGGCGGGGTTTCGCGGCCAGGGTGGTGTCTATATTATCGTTGAAATTGTCTCCAAGGGGGCCTAGCGGTCCGAGGTCATCGTCGATGGCTTCTATGCGGGCGACATGACGACCGGGGCGGCGAGGGTTACGGCGAGCGGCTGAGGTCCTGGTCGATGGTTGAAGAGATGGCACTCCCGCATCTTTGTTCTGTGTAGATGCCTTGGCTTCTATTCCGTTAGCATTAGCTCAAACGGCAACCAAAAAAAAAGAGTATTTTTCCAGACACACCCGATCCAGGATCTCTGAATGCGTCGGTAGAATCGTCATGAGGGAGGCTAATGGGAGGTGTGCTTGTGTTTATAGACCTCTCATCACCCCACGGGGAAGCTCCATCTGTCTCTAAGTCCAGATTGGCTAGGGTCGGGGATGCACCGGTACTCATCGCTGAACGTGGTGCCCACGAGGAGATCCGGGTTTTGGGGGTTAGCTTTGGTTTAACGGAGAAACCTTTTCTTCGGTGGCGAAGGGGGATGAATTGGCTGAGGAAGGGTCTCGAGATGCTTCTTGATTGATGCTCTTAGAAGTAATTGGCGGGACGCCGCGTTGGTGGTTCGAGATGCCCGACCGTCTTGGCAGGTAACACCCCTCTGTCACGTGGGAAAGGAATCAGGTTTGTTTGTTTCATAAGTTGTCACCCGGTAAAAACCGCGAACACCGTTTCATGTTTTTATTTCTAGATTAAATTTTGGTTGAATTGCCTACCCCTAAGACCTGGACTGCGAGCCGGGATTACATGGGAAAGGAAACCGGGGGTGTTGACACCCGGCGCTGGTAAATCCAGGGAGGGATTAGAAGATGGGGAGATGCTGGTTTGCCGACTCGGAATAAGAGATTCCGAAACAATTCCTTAGTGCCGAATGAGCTCCTCGAGGCGTGAAAGTGCTGCGAGAAGAGGAGAGGAAGCTTTGGTTGTAGTAGCGTAAACACCGTGATTGCCCGGTCCTCCGATCCTGCAGAAAATAGAACAGGTCCCCCCCCACCGAAATCGAACCCAGAAACCATAAATGCCGGGCAATTCGATCCACCAAAAAAACGTGGCAGCGTCCTTGTTATACTGACGCCGACGCGCCACACGGTTTGATGCATGTGTGGATCGCCGAGGCAAATTTTGGGGTTATGAAGTTGTGGTTTGAGGTCTGAGAGCTGTGTTAATGACTGCACTGGTAGCAGGGACTGCATATCCTGCGATGAACTAGAGAGGGTCCACCTGAACAATCTGTTTTTAGGGTACATGCCATTCGAGGGGGTTATGATGGTGATGATGATGACACTGACAGTTGTGAAGAAAATAAGCATGGGGGGCTAAAAGGAAATGATGCTAGTTTACACATTTTGCCTCTGCAAGGAGAAAAAGGTGAAGAGATTAGGATTAAGATTACTATTCCTTATCTTTCTTCTCCCTCTTTTCCCTCCTCTCCTTCTTCCTCCTCTTACGCTCAGCCCTCTCCTCTTCAGTCTCATCCGACCTGTGCTTCTTTCCACCCTCAGGCTCCGGTTTAGCTGGAGAAGTCATCTTAACGTCTGGAGCGCCGAATGGAGGTACGGGAGGAGCGGTTGCGATAGTTTCGGGTATTGTTGTGGAACTAAGTTGCTCCGTGCCGCCGGCTGGGGCGTTATAATCGGTATATTTCTTTGTCCATTCACCGGGGGTGGCCTCGTTCGAGCGCCCATACTTCTATGATGATTGTTAGCTAGAAAACAGGGGAAAAACAAGATATCTATAGGGCTATGTTACGAACATCGAGTTTGCCCTCAGACTTCATCTTTTTCTTTTCTATCGCTGTTGGACCCAGCCCCCATCTGCGGGGGTAGAGATCGCGCTCCATGATGCAACGCTTAACCTTTGCGACAACACCGTGATCACATGTGGAGAGCTCGACAGTAGACATTTGAGCGATACCAAGCGCAATAGCCTCGCCCTTAGTAGTCATCAGGACAACCTCTTCATTGACCTCAATTCCAGCCTCATAACGAAGCAGTCCAGGGATCATGAGTTTAGCACCATAGCAAACAGCATTCACTGCACTGTCCTTAACAACAATCCGTTTGTAGGTAGTTAAGAGGGATTCCAAGGGGCGGATAACTCGGCGAAGGTAGCTCTCATCACGAGAGTTGTCAGCAACCCACTGAGCTGTGAATTGGTTAGAATCCGGTTATCACATGAGGGCAGGGGACCATATACCGTCGAGAACATCGTGGAGAGTGACAATATTATCATTTTCGCTTAGTGCTCCAGATCTAACTCTTCGAAGCTCCTGCATATGCGCACCAACGCCCAACAACAGGCCCAGGTGAACGCATAGAGTTCGGATGTATGTTCCCGCTTCGCAACTGACCCAGAAAACGGCGAGGTGCCTATCGTTGTCAAACTCTAACAGCTGCGATTCGTGGATAGTACGGATACGGAGCTGACGTTTGACAGCGGAAATCAATGGTGGACGTTGGAAGAGTGCGCCAGTCAAGGTTTCAAGCGCTCTCGCAAGTTGGGCGCGACCCTCAATTTTGTCATGTAAGCGTAGAACGCAAACATATTCCTTCCCTACAGTAGTGGTGATGAGTAAGTTTGATGATTCAAAAGGGCTTTCAGACGACGCAGAGGGGTAATGGAGTGCGATATACCGGCGCCTTGTTGGGACTTGACCAAACGCGTTGCACGATCGATACAGACGATGAGACATCCGGTGACCTTTGGATCAAGGGTACCGCTATGTCCGGTCTTTTCACATCTATTCAGAGTAAGTGCCCAATCCGCTGGGTGAGGAGATTGCGGTGGAACGTACCTGAGAATTCTCTTGACCCAAGCAACAACTTCGTGTGAACTTGGGTTACTCGGTTTATCGAGGTTGATAACGCCACTGCTAATATAACTCTTCAGCTCACGCTTCAGAGGAGTACACCCATTGGGTATTGGTGTGTAATGTCCGGTGCGAACATGGAGTTTTTCATAGTTCTTCAGAAGAAGTCTTTGATAGAATATAATGTTAGAAATCTGCGAGAGAGCGGGAAAAAAGAGAGGGAAAAATGTGGAGAGTAGAAAGACTCACGGCCATTGAGACGAGTCGATGGTCGGAGTCTTAGCCTCCGGCTTGATCGAGAAATCCTCATTTTCTTGTTTATGTACGAGAGCCATTGCAATTAGTGATGGCAAGCCTTCGTGCTAAAGGGCGTGCTCCGGAGGGACGTTGTGGCTGCGGGAAAAGTGAAAAGGTTTCCAATGGCTGTGAGAGTGGGTCGGGTAAGTTAACTAGGAACTGCAGGCGCATATCTTGGCAATGGACAGCCACACCAATCATGGCACTGCCACTACGAAATGTTTCAGCCACTCGATAGCACCTCGTGACCTCAAGCTTCACGCCTGTCACGCTCTCCGTGCTCCCACACGAATAAATGGATCATCAAATTTTGAAAAAAAAATTTAATCGTTACAGGTGATTTATGATATAAAGAAGTCGTAGCTGCGTGACCAGTCCATATGCCACACTTTTCCCAATATCTGTCCAATCTCCTCGGTAGCCGATACCTTTTCAATTCTCCCCAAAATCAATAAAACACATGTGGCGGGTTCGCCATACTGTACCCTTCCAAGTTCTACGAGTTTCTTGCGCCTAGGGGCACCTGTGCTTGTTTCCGTCAACCTTTGCCCTCCAGACACCTATCCATAAAACCCCCTCCTTATCTCTCCGTGTTTTCCTTGGAATACCTAGCTCTCTGCCAGCAGTTATACGTCGGAAGATCTCGCGACTGACAGCAAAGGTGTTTGTTTGGCTTATGTGGCCTTGTTCCTTTGTGCACTAGAGAAATCTCGCGAACTTGAGCTAACGAACTACAAATCATGGCCTCCGCGCCCCTACCGGTACCTACACCATCTGTCCAGCCACCGGCAGACGACCCACTCCCACTCGAGTCTGATAACTCATGTTCGCCCTCTTCCTCGAAAGAAGTCTCTCCTGCTAGCTCTCCTGCCCTCTCACGTTCTACGTCCTTCGTTGGCTCGAACGAGGATTGGGGTGAGGTCTTCCCTCCCTTGGACAAACTTACGGTCTTCGACTTCCTCGACCAGTTTGCCCTCCCACAGAGACTCGAGAGAATCAATGAGCAGATCAACAGAAAGATACAATTCCAGAGCGAGAGCCTAAAGAAGCATCGTGACAAGGTTAAGTTGGAGTATGTAAAGCAGAAAGAGAGGGTCATTAAGAAAACGGATGTCGAGTTCGAAAAGTACCGCAAACGATATAGCCAGGGACTCGAGAAGGTTCTTAATAAATGGGATGATACTAGGGTTGTTTCTACAAGGGAGAAGATCTCGTTCGTGGTTGGTGTCTGCAATATCTTCATTACAGGATTCCTGATTGGCGGATATCCGTGAGTTTGTTCTGTCGGTGTTTTTATATGGAGCGAATCCTAATGTGTCAGCGTCATAGCGAATGGATCCATGTGTGGTATTCTATTCAGCTTCTATACTTTATGCCAATCCGCTATTTCACCTATCACAAGCGCGGTTACCAATACTTTTTGGCTGATCTGTGCTACTTTGTTAACCTTCTTCTCTTGCTCAACATTTGGGTTTTCCCGAACTCTCGGCGTCTAATGATCTCGACATACTGCCTTGCATACGGAAACAATGCTTGGGCCATTGCGATGTGGAGGAATTCCTTGGTTTTCCACTCGCTTGATAAAGTTACGTCTTTATTCATTCACATTATGCCCCCGGTTGTCCTGCATTGTCTGGTGCATTTGTTGGATCAGGACATTGTTGACTCCCGCTTCCCATCCATTAGTAGGGTTAAGGGAGTGGAGAAGTATGGTTTGATCGAGATGGTTATTTGGGCAACTGTTCCTTATGGAATATGGCAATTGTCTTATCATCTATTAATCACGGTTAGCACCCCCGGGGCTTGCGCTGTATTCGCTGTCTGCTAATTGTCGCTTTAGGTGAGGAGACGCGAAAAAATTGCAGCAGGGCGCCCAACGTCGTTCACCTGGCTTCGCAAGAGCTATTCAAAGACCTGGATTGGCAAACTCGTCCTCCGTCTACCAGAAACTATGCAGGAACCTGCATTCATGCTGATTCAGTACTCTTACGCTGTTTTAACTATGCTGCCATGTCCTTTCTGGTTCTATCACAAGGGCTTTTCTGCTCTCTTCCTAACAGCTGTTGGCCTCTGGAGCATCCATAATGGTGCTACCTACTATAGTAAGTGACCGAGCCTGGCCTCCTTTAAAGGTTATGACTAAAATTATCCCAAAGTCGATGTGTTTGGCAAACGCTTCCAGAACGAACTTGAACAGCTGAAGAAGGATGTTGCAAAGTGGCAGAACTCCCCTCTCTTAAACGAAAGCAATGGGGACACAAAGCACATGGAGCCCTTGAACCTTACGATAAAGACAACCACCGAGTTGACCGCCACCGACAGAGGAGAGAAGAAGCCAGACGGCGGTGAACTTCGGGAGCGGAGCATCACTAGCTCTGTTACTACCGAAACCTTGTAGAGTTGAATAGTTACGAGAAGTAGGCTTAACGGTTTTTGCTTTATTGTTTCTTCTTGGTCTTTGGTTTTTTTGTGGGTGTTGGATGAATTCATAGGAATGACCGGGATGGCCCGGGCTAGGTGGTTTTCATTGTTTTACTATTATTACCATTCATTCATCTTGGGTGAGCTTGGGCGCCGCCACCGGTGTCGGTGTGCTCACCGTACTTGCACAGGATTCGGCCCTGGAAGATGGGTTTCGCTTTGGAATATCATACCTTTAACCGACGCCTGGCTCTCCGGTAGGGATCCGTCCAGTTTTGTTCCTGTTCGATATTCTCCTGTCCTCTTTTTCCCCTCTCCTTGGCCGGTTATGAGCGGGATTTATGCCCGGGTTTTTCTGCCTTCTATTTCTTTTCATCTCTGCGCGATTGGTCCTGACTTGGAGATGATAATAATGATTAGCTTGACGTGATAGGTGGTGGTGGGTGATGTATGGGTTTATGAATTAACTTTCTCACTCTAATGCGTACCTCTAATGTAATGTATCTCTATCAACTGTATTCCAAGTTCCCAACGTTGTGACTCTGAAGGAAGAAAGTTTCCAAGCCCAGCCCCTCCCTTCTCCCCCAAACACACAATATTGCATTACCCACCCCTCCGGAAACCCGATCCGGACCAGAAACGGCCTGATGTCAATCCCCCCTCCCCCACAACAATCACCCAGACCCATCACCCACATCCCCCCCCTCATCACTCCCCACCTCCCTCCCAACATTTCTAAACATCCCCTCAGCATACATCAACCCAAACCCTGTCTCCTCTTCCCCCACAAGGAAATCCACCCCCACAACCCTTCCAACCCAAAACTGATGATCCTCAACCTGCACACTCCGATATGTCTCGCACCTAAGCCTGTACAACACATCCTCGTCCCTACCTAGCAATCCCTGTTCGCGTAATTGGGAATCACGCACGCTCTCCCAAGGCGACGTGGAAAGCTTCGCTTTCGAGAATAGCGATGCGATGTGCGCTGCCCGTGCGGTGGAGAGGAGGACGTGCACTGTGAAGGCGCCGGAGGCGGACATGGCACTTGCGGCCATCGATGGTGTGGCGATGTTGAAGGAGATGAGCGGCGGTGAGAGGGAGAAGCAATTGAAGGAGCTGAGGGTTATGCCGCGTGGGGAGTGTGGGGTAAGGGGGGAGGTGGCCGTTACTATTACTACTGTGGGTCAGGGGTTAGAGGGGGCTGAAAGGGCAGAGGGAGGCTGGGTGGGTGGGTACCAGGGTGGGGGATTTTGCGCATTACATGGCGGAGGGTTGTGGAGGTGGTTTTGTCCGATTTCGCGTCCTTGGAAAAGGAGGAGAAGGAGGTGGTGGTGGTGGAACTGTGTCGGAGGCGTTGTTTCCGGCCACCCTGTTCGAGTTTTAGGAGTAATGGTGGCCGGTGGTGGTGGTGGTAGTGCAAAGCAATTAAACTCTGTCGTAACAGTCGTAAAGGGGATTTAGACATTGGGTAATATTAGGGCTCCTTTGCTTGTAGTCAGAGGGGTGGGAAATTGTGGAGAATTGTGAGGTTTATTTGATGTTTGTTTGTTTGGTTGGTAATGGTGAGGCGGATTCTTACTGTTTACCGTTTACCGGTAGTTGGCTGTTTTTGCCCTTCTTCTCTTTTCCAGGGTTTGTGACGTATTGTGAAGGAGGGGTGAGCGCTGGGGAGAAAAGTATTCCTCGCCGCCGCCGCCAAAAAAAGAAGAAAAGTCCGAACTGAGATCAACCAGCCAACTACAATTGAGAAAACTTAAGAGGGAAAAGGCCAGGACTTTCTTTAATCGCCGATAGCCTGATTGGAAGAAAATTTCTCCACGGGAGGAAGAAAGGGAAGAAGTGGGGATGTTGACCCCATCTCGGTGTTCCGGGTTTAAAAGATCACTACCACACTTTATCATTCGAGCCTCCTCCTCTTCCTCCAAGGCCTCTTCTACTCCCACAGATACCCAACCTGCTACCGCCGCCGCCCCCAGCAATGGCAAAAAACCCTACATCCCCCGCGACCTCCCCCTCTCCCCCATCGAAGACCCAACAAAATACGTCAAGTATTCAATAGCGCACCCCAAAGCAGACCAGCCGCTCAAGAACGCCCCGCTCCCTGGGCCCGAACTCCGCCTTACGAAGAACCCTTACGCACACATGCTGGCCCAACCCGTCCGACAGGAAATCGAGTTCCACCGCCGGGTCCCACGCACGTTTCTAATCCGCTTTAAACAGCTGGTGCACCCGGAGACGCGTGAGGCCTGGACGGTCCCAGACGGCCTGCGCCGGACGGACGACCAGCGCGGGCGGGTGCGGGAGGGGAAGTGGGTGATGGGGAACATCGATATGATGCGCTCGTTGAAGAAGCAAGCGAAGAGGTTTAACAGCGTGGACGAGAAGCCAGTGTTCCCAGAGGACATCGCGGAAAGCGTTAGGGACTTGATGAGGCAGAGGGTTTTCGACGAGCTCTTTGTTGTCCCGCAGAGGGGTGGGGATAAGTGTTTTGTGAGAGGAGAGATGATCGAGGGGATGGGCGGGATCGTTGAGATTGGGTGCGTGCTTGACTGGGAATTGGGGGAGGGGACCCGGGGAGTTATCGCAGACACAGGCGAGGTGGACGAAGTTACGGGGAGGGTCCGGAAGAAGGAGATTTTGGTCCGGGTTAATGGGCGGCTGTGTCCCATGCACCATATGCGTGTTATGCTTGGGGAGGAAGTTGCGGGGAAGATTAAGGCGCTGTGGGGGTTGGATGAGGGGGTCACGAGGGTCGGGCTTTTGAGGCGGGATGCGACGTTGCAGTTGGAGATCTGGTTGATGAAGATGAGGGCTTATATGAGGATTTGGTAGTAGAGCGACAGTTTGTAGAGATAATACTCCCGCTGAGAGTAGATGCCGGGTTCAGATGGGGAAATGTAGATATATTAGCAATAGAGGGAAGTGGTCAGCATTATCACAACCGAATGGTGATACCAATGGTGACACCACTCCTCATCGCAGGGTACCGTAGAGACCAGATGATTCCCCTTTGTTCATCTGTAAAGGGTTGTCCAAGCGTTAGATTTCCGAAGATCTATGGGCCATGGGAAAATTCAACGAGTGACACATAGTGAATCACCCTTTAAACTACAATAGGAACTCTGGCTTTAATCCTTTAATCCAAGCCCCAAACCTAGTACCACATTACACTAGTATCTACAGTACCGTACCTGAGTAGGAACAACCCCCCGCCAGCACACCACTTCAACCTCAAATTTACGTTCAGAGTTTCCCTCGCATTTTTTCTCGAGTAACAAAAAAGCCGTTTGATACGAGTGGATAGCGCCTTTTACTACTGGTATCATGGTACGGGTTTAGTGCTCGTAGATCATCGTGCAGCCCTAGCCAACGCACGGCGCGCATGTCCGGCAGCGGTCTAGAACTCCCGATCTTGGTTGCACCCATGGCCGTGTGGTGCGCTGGAAGCTAGCTCTCCAAAATCGGTGGTAAACAGTGCCGTTGAATTGAGCTGCCTCTTCGCATCTTTTTTTTTAAAAAAAAAAAAAGTGACATAAAATAATTCCTTCTTTTGCCTACCTTGCCTATCCGGCGGGATTCTCTAGCGGGTTTTTGTTGTAGGGAACTTCTTCTGCTGCACCTGAGAGAGGGTCCTGAATCGGATGGCTGCACGTCTCTGTCCGAATCCACCGCTATGCGTCTTAACGCTACATTTGTGCTTTAGCCCTTGGGCAATGTCGAATCATCACTAGTCGGGGAAGGGAAGGGTTATTACTGAGCTGCTGTATCATACGAGTGCCGTATCATACTTTCGGGAAGAATGTTGTCTTGGATTGGGGGGCCCTAACCCTGAGGCATGTGATAGCCTTCCTCTGGGTGGTGGGAAGGGAATAGGAACAACAGTTCGGTGGCCGCATTGGACGGATGGATGGCTGCGTTGGGCGGGAGGTGCGTGGAGTGGTACGGTATGGTGTACGAGTACTGTACTTGGGTATATATGGGCGTACGGTCCCGCCCACATCTCTCTTGCATACTTCCGACACAACACCCCCTTCTACTTTTTACAAACCTCCGGAAAATAGCAGATCATGGCCGGGACTACCGAGAAATGGGAGACTTTGAAGGACGGGTTGGAGATTTATACCAAGACTTGGTTGGTAAGTGTGATAGATTGATCATGGAAACCTCTCTAACTTTGTCACTGTTTGGCTGGGCGTGGGTGAATCGGTGGTACCTCGGCGGCTGATAAATGGGCAAACGACAGACGAATTCACCCCCGGTCGCACAGATATTCTTCATTCATGGCTTCTCAGATCACTGTACTGCCCACGGGTTCTTTTGAGAGGTTTAATGGTTTGAGAGAGACTAATAATGGACAGGTAACACCTACGGCATCTTCCCGACTACCGTCGCTGCGCAAGGCATAGAATTCTACTCTTTTGACCAACGCGGCTGGGGCCTGACGTGCGCACGTTCGAACCAGAAGGACAAAACCACCCGCCACTCGGGCAATTCTGGCCCCACGTCTCTCGTGCTCTCCGACATAAGCGAGCTTCTCGGGCCTCGTCTGGCCGCGCGCCCAGGAATCCCCTGCTACCTTGTCGGCCATTCGATGGGCGGTGGGATAGCATTGACGTACGCCATCCACGGCACGTACAAAAATGTCCTCGCGGGAACAATTGTCTGGAGTCCCATGATCGATTTCGCGAAGGAGAGCTCCCCGGGCTTTATTAAGATTGGTGCATTGAAACTCGGTGCGACACTGTTCCCGAATAAGCAGACTGTACAGAGCCTGCCAGCCGAGGATATGTCTAGAGACCCTGAGGTCGTGGAGGCGTTCAGGACGGATCCGCTGTGTCATGATACTGGGACGTTGGTTGCGTACGCGGACATGATTACCCGTGGACAGGATTTGAGGAAGGGGCATGTTGCTTCCAAGTTTTCAGCCGACAAGCCGGTTTTGGTGCTGCACGGGTCTTCGGATAAGGTATCTTTCAAAATTATTAATCTTCCATCCGTTGTGTGGACGTTGGGGAGGTGGGCTAACGAGGGGGCCGATTCTCCAGATCACCAACCACAACTCTTCAAAACACTTTGTTGCTAGCCTTGCCCAGGTTAGGGACAGGGAGTTCAAGAGCTTCGACGGGTGGTATCATAAACTGCACAACGAACCGGGGGAGGATAAAGTTACGTTTGCAAATTATGTCGCGGCGTGGATCATCCAGAGGTCTGCGGGATCTGTTAGTTCGAAGCTTTGATGGGTGTTGAAGAAATGGTGAATAAAATGAATTAATGGCTGGCGGAGGCGAGTGATTCGTCATGACACCTTGCATTGGATGGGGTGGGGTGGGTAGTTAGCTCTCTGGGATCTTGAATCGGAAGTTCCCGGATTAGGGATTGTCCCGTCCGTCACCTTTTTTTTTCTTTGTTAGGCGGAGACAGGTCGTGATGCCGAGCCCAGTCGAACGATGAGAGCCAGTAGGATTCGAAGGGAAAGTATTCAGGCCACCATCGTGAGATGTGGGGTATTATTTAACTCTGGTTGCACTACCGGTATAAGTTATGGATACCCCTGGCCGTGTGCGGACTTACCATCTTCCCATAACGTCTGTGCCATCCCTACCCACCAGGGGAAATAAATACTCGAGTAGATAAATAAATTTTGGGTGCAGTCGTGTCGTAAACTGGTTAGTCACTATTTTGTGTCCCAGATCAAGAAATAGTTAAGACCCAGCGCGCCGGAGAATTGGAGAAGAGCAACAGTCATCCATAATCACTCGCCAAACCCCCAGACACCCCCAGCGTGAACCCACACAGCATGTTTCGTGCCAGCCGATATTACGTGTATCATACCATACCACAGATTGCCCGTGAATGCGCGCCCAGAGCGAGGAATTCCATACCGGTAACATTGGCTACTCAGAAGTAGAAACATGAATCACTTTATTTGATTTCTTAGGCATTCCCAAGTGCGGAAAAAGGTGGAAAGAAAGGAAGAAAGGACGACGTACGGTAAAGTACGTCTAACCGGACCCACCGTATGATACTTTTTTTTTTCATTTTCATTTTCATCGTGGATTTATCACCACCCCCTTTTAAAACCTAGAAAATATGATATTATACTATACTCTAGTCATGTCGGTTCCTATAATATCCATCCATCCATCCATCCATCCATACGCATCTAGAATACGTATGATATGACATGATACTCAGGGCATGGTCCAGTACGAGTACGGTACATACCGTGTGTGTGGGAAGGGGGGGGGGGGCTTTTTCACCCTACGTGCGAAATCCAATTTTTAGCGAATTCTGAGTACCCTAGTAGATCTTCTCTCTCTTCGAATAGATAGATAGATAGACTGATAGATAGATAGAGCGATTAGGATAGAGTCTTGCTTAGGAGATGCTTCGGGTGGGTGCACAGGAGAGGGTAAGCCTGGTACAGTACAGTACAGTACTCGAGTACTGCACTGCCAGTATACTCGAGTATGCTCGGGCATGCGGTGTGTATTGTGTCGTGCAATTCTCGGCCGTTGCCGGGAAAGGTAGGTATGATAGCGCTGAAACAACCATGCAGCCGTAGAGGCCTCTATAAAAAAGGACAGAGCTCCCAACTCAAATTCGCATCATGAGATATCACTTGCTAGTCTAGACCAACCGCACTGTTGAAAAAATGATTGATATGGAGGTAATGATTGGTAGTGAGGGTTTACGCAGTGGAGTAGAATCGTACGAGTGGAGATAGAAGGTTTTTCTCAGGTGAAGAGAAAGACCATGATTGATTGCTTAAAGATAACTGAGAGGAAGAACTTGAGGAGAGAGGTTAAGTACAGGAAGTTGTTCACTCGCAAGTGAGAACAGAAGGGAAGAAAAGACAGGGATGAGAAAAGTTTCCATGGCCCACGCGTCTTTCGGGGGTAGAGACATATGCTACTGACGCCTTCATGTATGAGCACATCCCGCACCAAGTGCGGCCATCAACTGCTATTTCCAACACGCACATATCATTTCATGCGAATAATGCGGGGGCACTCGGCTTGTCACCCAAGCATACGAATCCATGAAACCGAATTTCTAAAAAGTGGGGCATTGGTCATTGGATATCTGATACAGAGTTCAAGCACAGCTAGTCTGACCCGAGAACTGGGGGAACCTACTCCCCCCTGCCCTGCGCGCTCCATCGAGTGAGCCTTAATGAATCACAGCCACAAATGAGCCATCAAACAATCGCTAATCAATCTTGAACAAAAATAAGAGACCCGTGATAAAATTCCCCTAAAAATGCCCCCTAACTCAACCAATGCAAGGATATCCACAGACACAACCCCACAAAATCGGCATCCGAACACGAAAAAGAGATACAAAAAGAAGCCATTGGGGAGGGGGGGGGACCGAAGAAGAAAAAACTCCACATCGAGTGTAACAGAGCCTAAGTTACATTTTCATCCATGCAAATAACAAATCGCAAAAAAAAGGCATGCAACATGGTAGCCTAGATTTATTTCCTATCCGGCGAACCTACTAACGCCGGCCCCGCCCCCACCAACCCGGGAAAGAGCGAGGTTACGTGGTCGAGGCTATTTCCACGAGGAAATGGGGTGGCACGGATCATCTCTGAACGTTCAAGCTCCGACATGTTTGTCACGACGCTTTCACTCGAAAATACCGACGAGGAGCGCTCGCGGGTAGGGCCCGCTGCGCTAGTTGGTAGGGACGAGGATGATGCGGCGTAGGAACCCTGGTGGAGCATGAGGCCAGGGGGAGTGGAAATGTGTAGAGAATTGCGGTTGCTGTTCGTTCCTGGGAGACCAGTATCAGGGGTTGGCAGAGGGAACTGGGATTGGATGGAGGACTCGTAAGCGTAAAAGGTTGCCCAGTTGTCAGCGGAATACATGCGGAAGTCTACCGTCTTTTGTTCCATGCGGAGGATAGCATCGGAGAATTCCTTTTCGAGGGAGAGACGATGCTTCTCAACATTCTCTCTTTCGGCTTCCCTCCTTCGGCGGGCCTCGAGGTTCTGCTGGTGTTCCTTCTCAAGCTTCTCGAGATCGGCACGGAGTTTACCAAGGCGTGCTCTCAATCTTTCCTTCTTCAGTGCTAGGCTCGCTGCTTCTGATTCAACTGCTGAAGTCTGGCGGTCCGCCGCTTCTTTCACCTCTCCAGCCTGACTTTGTGCGGACAAAAGCCTGTCTCTTTCCTCACGCCAAGCCCTTTTCTTCGCTTTCCACTCTGCCTTGAGCTTCTCGGGAAGGCTCTGCAACCCTTCAAGCTCCTTTGTCATTTTCTCGGTCTCCTCGTCAGCACGCTTGATGGATTCCTTTAATGCCAGGATTCTTCGGAACGCTCGCTCATCACCACGGTCATTCCCCAGGAGGGATCTATTCTTCTCGGTCTCCTTCCGAATATCGCTCAATGCAGTCTTTTGATTCTTCTTGGCGGCCTTCAAACGATTCTTCTTCTCGACAAGACAAGAGTTTGCCTGCGACAAGCTGTGCAAAAGAGTAGTGATTGGTGATAGAGGCCTTGAGGGCTGTTTGGTGACAGGGGGAGCAGCCGAGGAAGCTACGCAATGTTAGACCCGGCTCCCTTCAATCAAACTAGAATAAAGCGTACCTTGAGCAGGCATTGTGCATGCGCTTGCCCGGTAGACTATCTTCCCACCCTTCTTGACGAACTCAAAATCGTACTCGGTTGCTCCAGTCAAACCAGTAATATCGATTATCCATTCCTCTTCCACATCACCTGTGATGACTCCGTTTTCCCTATCCTCATCCCCACCTCGGATATACTTTGAAATGACAGTCTGTGGCCACACAATGCCGTTCACCCGAACAAACAGAGGAAACGTCCCGTCCCTCCCGCTCCCATCAACGCCATTTGTCAACGCCGCCCCGTGCATCTCATAGCCGACCTCGCCATCGATTCTCGTCCCCAGAAATCCAGCGCCGAACGCAACGTCTGTTGATCCAATCCGCGTTATCCACACTCGCACATCCTCTCCGCCCGACACAGATTCGTTAGAGACAGCACCAACCTCAAGAGCATTAGGGTTTGAAGCCGCAGACGAGATCTTGGACCGTTCCACTTCCTTTGCAACGTGCACCATTGCACTCGCAATCGTAGCCCATAAAGGCTGGCTATTTCGGATATTTTGTATTAGATTCTTCTTTTTCCTCTTTCCGCCCCCTGTACTGTTTTGTCGCTCTAGGGGCTGAGCCAGTGCTCCGGCCGCCGCCTCCGGGTCCTTGTCTTTTTGTTTTCCTGATGCCAAAGCGGTATCCTTGGGTCCCGAGGAGCTACCTGATGCAGGAGAATCTCCTGAATCAGACCTCATCAACCACCTCCTAGTCACCCTCATAACCCCCTGCGCAACGATATGAATGGCTATGGCACTTCGGATCCATCCCGCCGATGACGCTTGCCCAATTGGTATTCCAGCCGGACCGCTACCGTGCAAAACTTCCCGACCTGCTAACTCAAATCTCGCTTGAACCACTTTCACACCCCCCATAACACTGGCGCACACAGCTGCATTCCTCAATGTCCCCCCGCTTTGATCTGAATATCCAGCGCCGAGAGAAATAGCAATAACAGCTTGGGCAAAGTCGACAAGGAAAGTGTAGGCGGGAGGCCACAAAAACATGGAAAGAAGAGCGACGAGGATATCTGCGAATATTATTGTGAGTAATGATGGTGCTCCATTCGAGCCCTGCAATAATAGGTTCGTAATGGAGGGTAGTGAAGACGTTGTTGAAGCGCTAAGAAGGGTGGTCGACGGTGGAACGAATGTCATGGATGCAAACAAAAAGTGGATAATTGTGAGAACCGTAGGCGGTAGCTGTAAAAATAATATCAAAAGCATAATGGTATCGAGCAAAGGAAAGGAGGGTAGAACAGTAGAGGGCATTCCTCCAGTCATTGCTATTTTCCCCGAAGGATCAAAATCGATCCTATTGTGCTCAGCCGCGACAGCACCATCCGTTCCATTTGTGAAAGCCTCGCCCGAATCCTCGCCAGAACCATCATAACTCCTCCCATCCTGATCCCCATCCCAAGCGCTTGCATAATCTGTACAGGATCCATCGGCATTGACTGATTGAAATTGACTGGCCGCGGAGGGAATTTGCTGGTTCGGAGTTTGCTGAGCCAAAGTCGCGGCGGCCACAGCAGAGACTGTGGAGCCGCTACCGGCAGACCCGGAGTGAGAGGGACGTTTCATCTCATTATGGTGGTTCTGGCGTTTTGGAAACGAGCCACTTGGTGGGCCTCGTGGCATCGGCAGCTGGAAGTTGTTTGGACGACCCAGACCAGCTCCGAGCCTGTTCGACCAACACGAAACAAACAAATCCAGGAACAAAAGGAATGGAGCCCACCAAACTTTCGCAGTGGGGTTGGACGGGGTGGGGGGGATAAGAGTGAAGGGGGGGACTAGGTGGTAGAGGTGTGGTGGAGGGGTTCGACGAAGGGGTTGGCAGGTGGATGAATAAGGTGAGTGGCGTGGGGGTTGGGCCGAGGGCAGGTTCGGTTTGAGTTGGACGGGGGGAGAACAGGCTGGGGGATGGTTGATGGGGTATTGTGGGTTGTGCCAGGAAGGGAGGAGGCTGCCCTTGAGAGTCAAGGGGGGCTACAAGTAGTAAAGTGCTTTTGGGGGAAATCACGACAGCCGGGGAGCGGAAGAACTGTGCGCCCAGCCTAGCCAACCAAACCAACCAACCAGCCGACCAACCGGGGGAAATGGACTGACGCAGGAAAAACCCCTGGTTCACTTCGGAGCATGTCCATCATTCGGAGGCACTTGAAAGGGCACCGCTACTGCATCCGTACCGGCCGCCACGGGTTATGGCGGAGGTTCATTCAAAGACAATATACGGGTATATTTCTCCCGTATTATTATAACACCGTACCCGCCCGCATTTAGTGCTGAACCGCTGACGCTGTATTGTACTGCACAGTGCCGGTATCACTTGAGGACTCTAAACCGTGCACCACTGCTACGCATCATATGATTGGGGGTGATTATCCCCTAAGAGAGGCCCGGTGGAAATGCCGGAGTGTGGCAAGTAGGCGCGAACGCACTCTTCCCTTGACCTGTGCCTCATCCTAGGTCTTGTAAATCCCTGGGTCCGTCATGCTAAAAACGGCGAACCGTTACTCGTAGCAAGCGGGGGGTGCCCGAAAACAGGGGTGGTAAATTCGGATGGGTGCTCACCATATATCATACTTTGCCAATCCCCATTTTTGGATACCTTCTGGCTGCTGAGTTGAGTGCAAACTACCGCACTGGACTCAGATGCACCCCAAAAAATGTCGGATGAAGTGAAGTTTGTTCGATGAGAGATTGAGACCTTCGCTCCTGTCTCCCTCTTGGCGATGGGGCTACCGTGCGGAATAGAGAAAGGAGGTTATCCCATGTTCATGTCCAGGCCAAACTCTTATCCACCGTCATTGAGCGCAACAGAAGAGCAAAATCTACTTGGTCCCCCCCGCTCCAGGTGCTTCCCCATTTTTTTCTCCCTGGATCACATCTGGAGAAAAATTCGGACCTGGGAGCTTAGATCCATGCTGCGTAATTCCTATACCGATGTGTAGGAATAAGATTGGTATTCCACACCACTGAAGCTGTTACTCGTATAAACCCTGGTCTCAACCCCACAAGTTGCGATATTCGAGATTGTAATCATATTCTACCACCCCGATTATGCTGCTCGAGCATAACTCAGAGTCCATGGAAAAAGGAGCGAAAAAATCCTCACCGAATACAATACCGGCAAGTCATCTGCGCGGGGTGTCATCGGAGGAATGGTTGGCAGTGGACTACTCGAGCACCCGACTATCCCATACAATTCCTTGGGGATGTCGTATCCCCACTATCGCCCATCTCCCCACAATAACCAAAAGACTGGAATCTCATTCTTCCTGGCCAATGTTCTTATTTTTTCTTCTCAAAGAGGAAATCCAAAGAAATCTTCGATCGAAATCCTCCAAATCCCCATCGACACATACCAGACAAGAGGTGGAATGAGGGCGGAGGTGGGGAAAACAACACCAGTAAATATTAGCTAGGTGAGGAGGATAAAATCCAAGAGGAAGAACCAGTACGGTAGACTATCGTATCATAAGAGAGTCTAGTAGCGTTGTAGAAAATTCATCCAAGTAAGAAAGCAATCCGTCACGGGCACCACTCCGCTCGATTCATACTCTTTGTAGAAACCTGGTTCCCGAGGATAGCCTCCTTAGGAACTCTCATCCTGCCAGCAAGAAAAGATAACCATTTAGCAAGAATGCGGTCTACGGAAGGTCCAACCCTATCGCTTTTTCGTCCCCCCCGCCAGAGGAAAAAAAGACACAGGCTCTTCCTATCTTCAAATCCCTGTATCTATACATATGTGCTCGTACCAATTCTTCCTATCTTTACTCTTCGCCCATCGACCGATCTCGTATTCCTCTTCACCAACTCTCCAAGAAGTCTTTTTTTATTTTATTTTTCTCTCTTGCACCCTTCACGCTGCCCATCCCAGCTGCTATCCCTGGAGGGAGATTTGCTTGCGATACAAGATACTGGAATATCTTTATTTGAAAGTACTCCATTTGAACGATTGGCTCGTACAATGCTTTACTGGCGCCACGTGTGCAAAATTTGATATGGTTGTCTCTGCTGGACGGGGGGGGAGGAGAGGGCAAGAGGGGAAAGGTGGGGACAACTGTTATGCCAGTCACACCATAGATTCATCGGCTGGCACTCGGGATCTCCGAGCTCTTGAAACAAGTGCAGAAAATTGGTGTGGGGGAGACCAACCCGAATGAGATCACCGTTCCTGTTGCTTCTGCCTCAGGGGCTCTTGATCCACAGGGGATGAGAAGGGATTTGGTGGGGGGTTTTCTGGTAACTATGCCCTTACAGTACCGTACTTGCTGGGGATCTAGGTTTAGGACGGATCGTTTCTGGTAGGCAGACCTGATGGTGAAATGGCTGGGCTAGCAGCTACTCGAGTACAGTACTCGGGTACCAAAGTTTGCCGCGATAATGGATTGGTATTGCGATACTTGTACCAGCCTGGAACAAAAAGTGATCGGAAAAAAAGTGGTTGGCACAACACCACTTTTTTCCGATCACTTACCCTTACACCCTGGTACACCTTACTAATATGGATGGGCCCTTCCGGTGTCTGCTTCCCTGGATTACAGTGGTTACAGGCAGAGACTCCCCTATCACGTGAGCATTAACATCCACGGCATCACCTCTCGATTCGACAGCCACCGATGCCAATTGAGCTCTGGAGCAAACATCCTCAACATGGGGCAGGCGTTCTATTCCGCCTGAGCATCTTGGAAACCCTCACTAATCGTTCCTGGAATGAACCGTGAAGTGCATACCAACGGGTTTGAAGCCTACAAAAAGCTGTCAACTTCCCGAGAGCAGCATCCGTCCCCGAGGAATACCTGGTTGAAATCTACCGGCAGTCATGATCGACGTTCTATATCAGATTCGGTCTGATACCTTTGAGTGACAATATAATGTGCTCGCCAGGGTATTCCGCTGAGCTCTTTTGAGACTATTGAATACCGGCAGTTGATGAGACAGCGGCAATCATAATATCACTCACTACCTACCCTAGGGCGGGCTGTTTGCTGTACGGGTGTGAAAGGGGTGTCGGCACGGTACCTTATCGGCATCCCTCCCTGACAGTCCAGGAGTTGACCTGACTGAGAGGCTGTTGTTTGTTTGTAGATAACGGCCCAATTCTGATAGATTGGTGCTGGCGCCATTCTTGCTCCCCAATGCGCAAGCCCCACACTATGTCTACCGGTACTGATTTTCGCAAGAGTGACTCCAATGTCTCTGCTTAACCACTCCCTAAGGAACCCTATGATACGCTAAGCTCTCATCCTATCTTCGAAGCACAAGCACGCAATTCCTCTCAGTTCTCCCAATTGTCTCACTAGAGGAACTCCGGAGGCATCCCGGGCTGTGGTATTTGGATCCAGGAACCCCATCCGCCCTCCCAATTGCGTGAGATCGCAAGTCGGTGTCTAACCATTACCGGACCAGTAGTTCCACCCAACTATCACGTGCCACATGCGTCGCCCGCGATAAAGGCAGCAAAGGTCGGCCTTGGCAACCCCTGCAACCCAAAAGCGGGGTAGGAGTAGGTGGGTATGCTATGTCAAATAGTGGGCACGCATTGTGGGGGAAGCGACCCTGCGTATCGAATCAGTTGACTACGAAAGGAGCGCTTTAAAAACCAGCCCACTGCTCTGCCAGAAACACAATAGGGGATGATAAATATCTGATTCGCTGGGGCGGCAGTGGGCAAGGAATCTACAGCCCCGGTCTAGGTTGGGTGTCAGACCAGGAGCGGGGGATTTAAGAGACTCGATGAGGGAGGGCACGGGGTAGCGGGGGGTGATCTTTGCTGGATAAGAACCTGCGACACGTGGTGGATTGAAGTATCATACTCTGTGTTTATTCGAGCACCTTGCGCCGATTGAGGGGAAGTAGAAGTTCTGTTGAAATAATGGCTTCAATGTGACGGAAGCATGCTTGGTTAGGCATAGTGGATGCTCGCTCATTACTACTGTATATAGATACCTCTCTGAGGTATAAGTACCATTGTCTTGTACCCAAGTAATACAGAACAAGAGACAACGGACAAGTCTTCTCCTTATTCCAAAAGTCTACACATCTCTACTGAACTTCTACTTCCACCGTACACCTTACATACGAGATATTCCAACAGGTTATGAGCCCGGACCAATATACCTAACAGTTTACCAAGATCTCATACTTCTTCTCTCTTCCCTAATACTGAGAAACTCCACATCTATGCTGGGCATGAATGATACAACACCTCTCTCGAGAGATCGATACCGCTGTAAGTTTGGCAAGATTGACAAACTAAATTCCAATAACTATACGCATTGGGCACGTAATGTTCGTGCCTTCATGCGGGGAGAGGACTGCCTCAAAATTGTTCTGCGAGAGGAGGAAGAGCCAGCTGTCAACAACTATACCCGGTGGAAGGAGTTTCAGAGCAGAAAGGGAGCAGCATATGCCTTAATTTTTGCCTCCTGTACTCCTGAGATTCAGGAGTACATTAGCGATATCGATGACCCAGCCGATATGTGGGAAAAGTTGCATGAGAAGCTTGACGGTGCCACTTCTCGTGCAGGTAGAACTATGATCGCAAGGCAGTTCAACCAGTCAAAGCCTGAAGCCAATCAGCCAATTCAATCTTACATTGCGAAGCTACTTCAGTATCGACGCCATCTAGCAGGAACCGAGCAAACTATATCAGATGAGGCCTTTTCATCCCACCTAATCTCTACCCTCCCTGCGAGTTTCAACAGTTTCGTTGATATTGTCCTCCATCAGC